TGAAATGGTATGCTTGACGGAATTGTCACATAGAGAAAGGAAATGGCGAGGTGTATTCGATAAGTTTGATCGAAGAATCCCGCGATGTGAAGTCTGTCGTAACGCCTTCTCTACGTCCGAGAGATAACGTTCGATAGAACTGGTGACATCCGACTGTACCAACATTGTCGCTTGTTCAAAGCGCAGCGAAACTTGTTGCAAACCACTGCAGTTCGAAAGAATCCCGTCGATATAACCCCATTGTCGGACATGACTCTCGTTCAAAGAAACGTCTTCGTGATGTTCGAATTCAAACAGAAAGTCGATGTAGCCGATCTCCTTCGATACGAGAGAAGAGAGTAACATTCGAATGCTGATGATATCCTCAACTTCCCCCGAAACCGAGAAGGAAATAGAACGGATTCTATGAGGAGATCTCAGGTTATAAGGTAAACCTAATATGAAATGATGATTTTTTCCTCTGCTTAGCTTTGTGCTATTGAGACCGAAAATAATAAGAAGTAGTATTACTCACGATGTTCGATGATGTTGTCTGGAAGATCTGTACTATATATCCATGAAATACGACCAAACTGGATGGTTTGTAGAGAACAACAAGAAAAAATAAACAACCGCAAGGTGTGGTCGAATTCGTCATTAATATAAAGCCTCTTCCAGCTTATGAACCGCAAAGAGTCCACGGATTTAGTTTGAAGTAACCAACGTAGTAAGTCCGTCATCATGTGGTAGGGCATTAATTCCAAGTCCTCTACACATCGAAGTTTCTGTAGTTTCAGCCCTCTCATACGATCATTCTTTGGAACAAATATTCGGTGTCCTGATGCTTCCTGTAGCCAAGGCAGATTGATGATTTCTAGTTCCCGGAGAGAACGGAATACACTAATCAACCTGATATATTGACCAAATGTCTGGAAATGACAATTTCGAAGAATTAATCGAGTTACCGAAGTGAATGACTGCGAGTGTGCTCCGATACATGGATGTAAGGGTGGTAAACTGACGAGATGCAATGTCGACGGTTGACCAGTATAACGTGGTAAAATAAGAAGAGCTGGATGGATCCACCAATTCGGGTGAATATTATGGATCCTAGGATTATTCGTCACTGGTGGTGGATATCGAGGTAGGACAGGTCCTCCAATTCGAATAGTCTGTACGACATCGCCAATCCTGGAAGTAGACTTTGGGAGCATACGCAAAAGGGTTCGAAGATGTTTAGCCTCGATTATATGGAGAGTTTCGAAGAGATGAAACTGGCTCCGAGGTCGCAATGCTCGACATGTCAACGAACAAGCACAGAGTGCTTGGGTTGCCCAATTGCGAGGCGAATCAAACTTCCATTCAAACCCCCTTTTATCGCATTCGCCTAAAAAATCAATGATTAGCTCCATAATTTCAGGAGGGAGAGACATTGTAAAAGTATTTTATGAGTAGAGAATGGAGGTGATAGGAAGAGCCCCAAGTTGTCATGGACTCGACATCATCACTACGACGCGTGACCGGTTGACCGATCGCGATTCAGACTATTACCCACCACTCTTATTACTTAAAGTTGTTTACAAAAATTGAATACAAAGATATATAGTTGAAACGGTATCTAGTAGCAACAATAGTCTGTTCGAACAAAACCAAGAATATTAAATGAGAGCGATAATCGACAACAGCTCAGAGACAGATATACAAAGGTATAAAAAGGGAGGGAGAGCCTGAGATCATGAAGCCAAAGGAGCAACCCTGAGCGCATCAACCAAATCCCAAATCCGAATCGTACCATCGTCAGAAGAAGAAATGAATTCTTCACCATCAGAAATAAACATAAGAGACTTCACTTTATCCCTATGACCTCTCAATTCCAGTTCAAAACCTCCCGTCAAAGCGTTCCAAATTTTGACCGATCCATCTGCACAACCTGAAAGAATAGTGTTTCCATCTGGAGAATATGCGACTGCATGAACGACAGAAGGTTGATCTGGAGGGAGAATATGAAGACATTGTCCTGTTTCAGCATCTGAAACGACAACGGTTGAATCATAAGATCCAGAAATCACCCTCTTCCCATCTGGTGAGAACGCAACAGACCAAACAGGACCTTGATGATCTCCAATCGTAACCAATTCATCTCCAGTTTCTGTACTCCATACCCGGCTTGTATGATCTTCACTTCCAGTCACGACACGACGACTGTCGGAAGATATATCCACACCCCAAATGACACCTTCATGTGTTCCTAATCTCCCAATCATTTCTCCAGACCCGACTTTCCAAACGTATCCAACATTATCTGCGCACGAAACGACCTTGTCAGAGTCGGGAGTGAAAGCAAGATATTGAACGACGGCTTCATGTTCTTGAGTTGTCGCGAAGCATTGGCGAGTTTCAGCATCCCAAAGCTTGACAGTCGTATCAACCGATCCAGTCGCGATGAATTTACCATTCGGAGACCAAGCTACAGACCAAACATCTCCGTCATGACCCATCAACTCTCCTATCTTCACTCCATCTTCAAGCCTCCAAATAAACGCATATCCGTCCTGGGATCCAGAAACAAGATGTTTGCTATCAGGAGAGAATGCAGTAGACAGAACATTGTCACCGTGACCTTGAAGTTTGAATGCTAAAAGGTCAACAGTCAAGTTCCATACCCGAATAGCGGCATCTTCATATCCTATAGCAAACAATTCCCCATTCTTAGAGATCGATCCTCCACTTGGAGCTCCTCCCTCAGCAGTGTGATCAATGAGAATTCGACTGTCCCATTTCCTAGCTTGAAGTAAACCACGGAACCAAATACCCGCTTCTTCAACTTCTACTTGAATTTTTTCTCCCGTTTCTGTGTCCACTGGCATAGAATCTAATTTTCCCTCATCCAATGATGGATCAACCGGACGACCATCGTCTCTGTATTTATCACGAGCAATTTCTCGTTCCTGTAGTTTCTCCCAGAAGTTGCGTTTAATGGTATCCATCAGTGATAAATATCCATCTAAAACGACACGCGTATAAGCTATATTGAAAATATTCATGATGCTAACCGATAGCTTACATTTGCCGTCGGTACTTGTATCAACCGTAGGTATCCTCACTGCCAAATCCGAGGCAACGTTGTCCGACCACGGTTGTCCCTAAAAAACGATAATCATTGAACGATCACGATTTCTACTACTAGGATGTGGAGGACGATGCTTACGCGGTACAACGAATTGATATCCCCGTCGCTCACAATGGCGATTTCTGCGTCTGAATTCTAACCATCGAAAATGTTAGACCGAATCGGCGGCAGTGAACGCTGTATAGAGACTCACCTTGAAGATATAATCGAACACGTCGTCGAATGCATCCTGAGTAAGACGAAATCAGTATGAGTACACAAAAGTTTCACATTCACACCGTCATATCTATACATAATACTATGACTCACTCGGGCTTGGACCTCTTCTGAATCTTCCTGAGCGAGCACTTCACCCGCCTCTCCAGCTCCTCGATCTTGATCTGGCAATTCATGATCCCCAGCATGTGCTACCATATACATGCCTCGAAAGAGCATGGTCCTCCTCTTAACCCGGTACGCCTGAAAGAACATAGTATGCTTGTATTTATCAGATGAACAGATCTTTGGCCTCTTCCGATAAAACTGTGAACGATAACTTTGATCTTTTGAACCGGCAGAAAACCCAACGTTGGCCATATTAAACATATCAATTTCAAGACCAAAGTCGTAATTGGCCTCTTTCGATAACCAAGAAGCGACATGCCAATCCCCAGTGGTGTAGACGACGCTGTGTACAAGCCTAAATTCTTCATGTTTGATTTCGACGGCATACTTTGCTAGAGCGAACTCTGCCCATTTTTCATAGTTTTTCATTATGTAGTCAGTAAAGGCTTTGTTGGTTGGTACAGCATCTCTATCAGCTGGTTCCAGCATCAGAAGAAAAGCGCCACGATCCTTTTTGCAACTAATCTTGTATTCAATCTTCGCCCCCGCTGGTGAGACCGGTACGTTTCTAGAGTTTAGAAAAAGCATCAATATTAATAACGTTCAAATTGGTACGAAAAGCAATTCGAAAAATGAAAAAAAAAAGTTAACTCACGCTCCCACAGACGCAGAATTGGAAACCTCTTTGACACTTGTACTTACTACAGGCCGGTTGCCTGGAAGGTATTCATTGAAAGTGGTGTGATTGGTACGATTGTATACGAGTGGTTTGAATCCCTCTGGGAGACCATGTGCGTTTAAAGGATCATTCTCATCAATCACATTGAAGAGAGGAAAGAAGTCCCCTGTCGTGCGCATATAACCAACATCACCTATCCGTATATGAGTATCTCCCACTGCCTGTGAAGACCCTCTTTTCATTGGTACTTCTGGGAACCATAATCCGTATCCATGACCTAGCGCTTCGAGTGATTTAGCGTAAATCTCTCCTCCAATTGCGTTGTTGGACATGACTGAGGAATGAAAGAAGAGTTGGTAAGAGGTTAGAAGAAGAGACGATGTTGCAAGTCGGCGACGCTGTTCTGTCGAGGTATTTGTATGAGTAGCTTCAAGGCTGTACAAACTTCTTCCCCATGGCCATCGATAAAACAAACCCTGTACAATGAGCGTCTGTAGTGTAGAACATGTATATAAGTAGATAAAAGTCTCCTAGTAAGTCCATTGAACTGGAGTAATCACCAAAGATGCCTAGATAATCACCGTAGTCTGTAGAGAACAAGAATTTCAGGGTCCGAGCGTCTACAGATCGTGACGGGCAGGCATGTCGCAATGCGTACGGTCAGAGGAGGAAGAGAGATAGCGGTGACCGGTAGGACAATCGTGGCGTAGATCTCTCCATATTTCACTGGTTTGTGGAAGATAAAACCGACATGGATGTTGCACGATGCTGTTTGGAGAAAAAGTGAAGTAATTCCGAAGATATCGCCATACCCGAAGGTGGTGGTATATAGTAAAGTTACGGCGCTTGAGGTGCCCCACTTGAGATAACTGGAAGATGCGGGAAAAAGGGCCCAACTGGGATTTGAACCCAGGATCCCTTGCAGGTTGTACCCAAAGCAAGTATCTTACCCCTAGACCATTAAGCCGATGGCAATTCTGCTTCCTTAAAGTATATAACGTCAATTTTCATTGAACCCACCAAGACTAACATCACTTTCTCCGCTTGGAATGGCCCATGGCTCAAGGTGATACAGTATATATCAACGAGTGATCTCATCAGGTTCACGTAAAGTCACTGTACATATATCCAAAAAAAAAACTTCTACTAATAAACAAACGGAATCAATTTATACGGAGTACTCCTTGCCCAAACTTCCCAATCATTCTTAAACTGTTTCTGCATAGCAACATCTTCACAAGGAACTCTCCCAACGACTGCAATCCCCAGAAGCAAGTTTTCCAAAATCCAAAATCCACCAAGAGGTCCAATGAAATTAGATTTCCAAACTCCACATTCCCTCCAATACGACCCAGATCCTACATGATTTAATATTGCACCTGAACAAGCCATGGCAGCACCTATGTATCCTGGATGTCGAACGACAGCATAAGGACCATCGGTTACGAGTTTGTGGTCATCTTTGAAAGATTGTTCAAAGGTGAAGAATGGACCAAGTTTTCGGAACGCCCATAGGCGAAACGATGAACCGCACATGATGAGAATGGATCCTAGAATGAATATAGTGGAGATCCCAAGTCGCTGTATAGCATCTGGAGAACATGAAGGTAAGATTCTACCGAGTGGCGAAAGGAATGGTGGTCGTAGTAAGACATGGATTTCGCAAACGGCAAGGAAGATGTTAATTATCTGGATGGAAAATTCAGAAGGAATTAGCTTTTACAGGTCGAGAAAAATATGAGGAAAACTTTGAATTCTCGCCTGATAAACTGGTCGACTCCAGAGTAAGAAACAGGCTAAGAATTCTTTCCTCGTATTCTTTCCGTCAAATTTGACTCGTTCGACTTTGTGAGCGGGGGGATTTGGAGGGGTGGATTTGAGATGGATGAGGAGTGCGTTGATGGCGACAACGAGGAGTCGAGAATGGGAGGACATGGTAGGATCGTGCAAGGTGGCCGAGAGGACGTGTGGAAGGATGCTCGCCCATATTATAACCCAGATGATTCGCTAGCAAGGAATGGAATAAGGGCTTCGAAGAACATGCGCTTGGCGTCTACGAAAGAGGTTACAAGACAGAAGGCACGTACTTTCCGGCTATTATAAACTCTAATCTCCACCGGTCCTGATGTTAAATACTCTGTCCATATTCGTACGACTCCTGGCTAAAAACCACCAACTTCCCTCTGCGAAGCTCGGCCAAATCGGGGAGGCCTGGCGAAATGTACGGACGGCGTCACGACCATATGGGTTCCGAACAGAACCATTTTTACGAGGATCCAAGAGTAAACGTCGATATTGGGAAGGTGATCCCGAGAAGGGGTTTATGTAAGTCGCCGTTAGTAACCCGGTGTAACGTCAAAGCTCAAACTGAGTCCCCAGATGTCCTGCACTCAAACATCTCCGGTGAACACCAGAACCTATATGCGGTAATGATATCCGGCTACAATGGCCACAGTATGACAGCGAAGATGCTTCATTTAGCGTTTTGGCAGTGCACCTGCAGTCCAAAATAGGTGGTTGGCAAGTACGTTGCGAATCGTGACATACGGGAATATGTCTTCAGAAATTTCGAGCCGGGTATATAACAATATTTTGGGCGATTTTCGGCCGACATTATCTAAGCAACATGTTCAGCATAGGCAGCCTATAGCTACTGATGATACGTGAAAGACTTGCATCCTAGTCTATGTTGCACAGTGGAGACAGATCACCACCGTTCGTCGTCACTCTTGATCAAAATCACAAGAGTGGGAGCACCGACGCAAGCGGCACTGGATATAGCAAATGAACGAAGCTAAGAGAATACTAATTGGAAGACAGGATCAGAGTGCATGTTAGAAAGATGATTGGACTTCACCGGTCTTGCATTATGAGACGGAGATTATAGCTTTCCAGAACTGGTGGCCGTAGACACATGATCGCCTTTTCAACAAATTGAACTTTACAATACAACTAATCAGCGAATGCTGCAAATATGCTGACTGCATAGATGTTAAGTTAAAATTAAGCTTAGAAAATGTGGTATGAATCACCGTCGAAATCATCGGCTATCAATACATGAGAGCAGCACGGAGATAACTTAATTTTCAGGCTGAAGAATCCCACTGGGAAGACTCGATATCCACCGCATGGAATTCGCCATCAAATTCAAGCCATGACATTGAAAATCAGCTCCCACCTAAAAGAGTGCCAGTCGATCCGAGTCGAGAATATGATCCAAGGACCAAAGCCATTACTAGATTCGACGACAAGAAACTTGAAATCCGAGTGATTACCGTCTCCTCGATATTTTGATCATCAGATTACATGCTTTCTACGCAACAGAGCTGAAAGGTTAGATATTGACCAGTAGTATCGGCGAAGTGGACAACGAATCAGCGCATTGTCTCCGGTATTCCATCCTCTCCTACGAAGCGAACGGAGACCGAATGATTCCTGAGGTGATAGCAAAGGAAATTCCTGTAAAATGTGACTCTTAGCATGAATGGACATCATACGGTTTTCCTGCATCATGCCCAACAATGAAACTGTAATGCGCCACGAACGATTTCGGCGACAACTGTGGAATCCGATTGTGTACGTTTGATTCTGCAAAGCCTCTGAGGTCGGTTAGATACAAGCTTTAATCGCCACTTTCGTGCAAGCTGTAATCCGGCTAATGTCTAAGTTTGTGTGGCAGAGCAATGAGGTAAAGTCAGTAGGATGTTTAGACTTTAGGATGTCGAGAAACGCAGACCCTGAAATTAAATTTGGTATCAAGTCCTGTTATGCGACAGATTAATTCACCAAAGCTTGACGCACATCAGGGTAGCCGGAAAAGAGGCGACAATAAAGTGACGGGGTAAGATGTAAAAGAAATTGATCGCAACCCTGCCGAGCTCTCGGCATGTCCCCATTTCCGGGTCCAGTCACGCGTCACGTACAAGTTGTTGTTTGCTTTCGTCGTCTTTTTGTTGTTACAATATGCACTCACTTGCTGGGTACCTGTAGCAAGATATATGTCATTTACAAATATTAAGAAAGCTCGCACTGTCTGTGGTAAGTCGTTCGAGAGCATCGGTCATGCGTTGATAGGGGTCGGTGTCACTTTTACACGTCTTAACACAGGCGCTCTTCCCTCGCAAGTTTCTCCCGTGCTACGGAATTGGACGGTATGAAGTGCATGCCGACGGTGAGTGTAAGTGCAGCTGGTTCTCTCAAATTTCGATGAATGTCCCTCCGACGCTGATTGGATCAACGAAAACAGGGTACTTTGCAGTATTATTTCCATCGATGGTGCAGCATCATATCATCAGGTGGGTCGCTGTCGACAAGACTTCAAGCTTCAAGTTCAAATTGTCCACGTTCAATTTATCAAGTACTTTATTGACACCAAAGACTCTGTATTGTAATAACCATAGCAATACGCTCAACATGTGGCTTCAGAAGAGTACGTTTGGCGACTCACCAGCATCCATTCCTGGCCAGACCATGCAGTAAACCCTCCTATCCCTGGATTAATCTTGCAGTATTTATTGTCTAATTTGCTCCTATCTGCTTAATTTAGGAATCATCCGCATCAGGCACCGCTATTTCTGTCTCAACAGATTTATGACCAAGGGAAGACCGTAATGAAGTTGGAACATGGTGTGAAGCCACCAAGGTAATGGAGTACATGTCGAATTTATCCTTGTCGTAAAAACTGATCAGACTCAAAAACGCGACGGGATCGGTTATTGTTTACCCTATAAATATGATTGCCACCGACGACTTTTTCTTCCAACATAACACAAGTTCCCAACACCCCTCAAGCCATCATGTCGACTTACTACACAGAGGTCTCTCCATTATTCTCAACCTTGCCTCCTCTCAAACCTGCAAAGTCTAAACTATGCGGATTCTTTGAGCTTACAAGACTTCACAAATCCACCATCGGCAACCTGTGCTTTTTCTGGCCTTGTGGTAAGTACTCTCGTTTTAACAATTGTTTTCGGGTCTATAACTCACTCCCTCTATGTCGGTTTAGCATGGGCACTCACTATGGCTGCCTACTCGACCGACATGCCTTTGCGAGATCTATTGGTTTACTTTACCATGTATCTCATCGGCAGCACCCTCATTCATAGTGCAAATTGTATCATCAACGATATCTTCGACATCGACTTTGATCGACAAGTTTGTACGTCCTGACTTTCAACTCTTATTCTATTATCAGTACAGTTTTATTGATTGATCGATGTTTCGCTTCTAGCAAGGACAAAGTCCCGACCACTACCATCTGGTGTCGTGTCCGTCTCAGAAGCTTGGATATTTTTCTTCTTCAACCTTTCGCCAGCTGTAGCTATGCTTCTCCTTATAAACTTAAAAGCGTAAGTATCTATGCTTATTGTTCCAACGGTCATGAATATTAAACGTCATCTCTCCCATATCAGTGCGCTGATCGGTCTGCTTGAAGTCTTTCCATTGCTAGTATTCTACCCATTAATGAAGCGTTGGACGTATTGGCCACAAGCATTCTTAGGTTATACATCTTATCCTTCAATGCACTCTATGTTTCTAATCATTGTTCGTATGTCCGACAGGCCTGACTATCAACTGGGGTTTTCCTACCGCATGGATGATGATTATGGGAACCACCCGTCTCCAGATGGTTTCTATTTTTATGCTAGGCATGATTTGGTGAGCTTCAATGTGGTACATACTCGTGTGATTGGCCCGTATACTCACTCCTCGTACTTGATATCAGCTGGACAATCGTGTACGATACGATGTACGCACTTCAAGACCGAGAGGACGACATTCAAGTTGGTATCAAATCAACTGCAGTCCTCTTCGGTGATTGGGTTCGCCCTATCTTAACATGTTTCGCAATATTGTTCCTTTGCAGTCTCATTTACGTTGGCATAGAGAACAAACAAAGTACTGGGTTCTTTCTGATATCTTGTGGAGGATCGGCGATCCATTTCCTCCTTCAGTTCCTGACTTGGA